GTTCTAGTGCAGCAGTATAAGTTCAGAAGATGTTAGGGAAGTAAAAATACTGAGAAAAAGTAACGCTGACTCTACTTATTAATAGTGCCACAAACCACCATGCTGGCAGCCAGCAAGATGGAACAAGAGGGAACAAGACGGAAGAGAATCTGGAGCTGAGAATCCGGAGGCCAGGCTCACAGCACAGAGTTCATCTTCTTCTCTGCTCAGTTCCCTCTGCTGTCACTAGGAGCAGTGTCATCCAACAGAAATGGAATGCCAGCCACAACTGTGGGCCACAAAGGTTAACTGTAAGTTTTCTAGGAGCCACATTCAAAAAAGTTTTTTAAAAGGTAAATTTAATTTTAGTACATTTTATTTTAACCCAATGCATACAGAATACTGTCATTTCAAAATGGAATCAATATAAAACAATTAATGGCATATCTTACATTCTCTTTTTGGTACTAAGTCATCAAAAGCTGGTATATACTGTAATTAAAACTGGATCAGCTTCATTTCAAGTGCTCAGGAGCCCCATGGGGCTAGAGGTTCCCTAACTGGGCACCTACCTTACTCCACGCTCCTTTCCCTCAACCAAAATCCACACAACTAGAAATGTTGGTGGGACAGGACAACAAAAATAATGAAATATGTGAGTCAGTACATGATTCAGCCCTGAGGACAACTCACATAACAGGCAAAGAAATAAAAGAAGATGAGAAAAATCAAAATTTGAATTTCTGAAGGAAAGAAAAACATGGCAAAGTAATTATTAATTGGTCATGTGTTTGACTAAAAATGTGAGACTTACTACAAAAAAATGTAAATCAGCATTATAGAATCATTCCTCTGTCAGGATTCACGTGAAAAACTAGGCTTGCCATTTTTAAAAATTCATGGAATTCCCTCCTTTGCATGATGTTTCAGGTGAAAGAGATAAAGACACAGAGACAGATACGTGGGTGAAGAGATGGCCTCGACTGGGTCTGCAGAGTAGAAGCATCATATCATACACACTTTAAAAACCACCAGGGCCCCATCTGCAAGGCCCTGGTTCCTTGCGCTGGGCTTCGCTGGGCTCTGATTCACAGTGTAGCCCAGGTTGAGGCACCCCAGATTGGATGGCCTCTGCAGGAAATTTCAGACTCCCTCTCACAGCCCCTCAGCTGCCCATGCCGGGATGCCAGCAGGACCTGAGGAACCCTCCCGAGAAACACAGAGTAGCCACTGGTATGGATCCCACAGGTGCAGTCAGCAGACGGTACCTCATAGCGTGGGGGAGAGCACGCACGTCCTCTACAGCAGGCACAGCCATCTCTACAACGTGGAATCAGCCCCTCCTACTTGGCTTTAAAACTAAAGTCACCAAATGGTTTCATCAAAGGCTAATACGACACCTACCTTTTAAGCACTTTCACGTATTATAAAAGACTGTGAACGCAGAAGCTTGGTCCTGATTTGAAAGGAACATGAGTAACAAAACCAAAAATGTGAAATTGAAAAGGAAGGCTATAAAGGGTTTTGTTTCTGTAATTATTCTGTGGCTTAGGTTTACAACGTTCATTAGCTTGTACAATGCTAAGAACATGGGTGACTAATGCTCCAGGCACTAAAAGGGAGGCTGTATGTATTTAGATAAATTGCACATACATATTATATAATTACATTTATACTGCTATAATTGTATAAAAGCGCTTCAAATGCAAAATAAATAGAGAAGATATGATCAGACCACAAAGTCTACATTTACACATCATGTCGCGAGTGAGGAGAAGCCTCATTTAGGCGTTTACTCACCATGAAACCCTGGACAAGTCACCCCCTTTCTAGGCCTTAATCTCTCCATCTCTAAAAATGAAGCACCATTACCCTCGAGCTTTTATGAGAGTTAAGTGCGGACACACTGGAGCCCACACATGGAAGCTGCTCAATAAATATGGGTTGCAGCTGCCTACCTTCCTCATTTCTGTGTGCAGGAGAGAGAGCTGAAGCCCAGAAGGAAAATGAATTGCCCAAAGTCACAATGATCACTTTCACAGACCCATGTTTCCTGACTCGTGCTGTCATCGCACCCTTTCCCCTCAAATCTCCTCCCCAAGGCTGGCCATGCCTCCCCTCCCTCCAGGACAAGCCAATAACAGCTCCCACCCTAGCATGAACCTCAAGTCCAAGACCCCTACCAGAAGCACACAGGAAAGCCACAAGTACCTGGTAGTGCCCAGCCAGGTGCGACACCCACCATCAGCAACCCCTGGACTCCTCTGAACCAGCTTTTTTACTTTATCTCTGGATCCTAACCCATGGGTGCCTAGGCTAGACCCAAAAGCACTCTAATATTTTCCATGAACATTGTCATGGGATTAAGTATACATTAACTGCTGTCTTAGATCAAGTCCCCTAAAAGCAGATCCTGAGATGAGGATTCATATGCAGGTGGTTTATCAGGCAAGTACTTCTGGGAGAAACTGGTAAGGAAGATGAGAAGCAACACGTGGAAGGGGAAGAAGTCATGCATGGGATGACTGCAGGCAAAATCCCATCCTCAGCCTGATCTGGACAGGCACTTGGGGTACAAACTGCACCTCAGAGCTTGTTCAACTTGGGGCAGAGATGCTGTTCTTTCTTACTGCCGTACCACTCAGTCACCGGCTCCAGCAGCCCAAGGGCAGTGCTCTGAAGAAAGTAGCAAGAGCAAGCCCTTGGAAGCAATGCAGACAGGAGCTGGGGGTGGACACAGGAAGACAGCAGTGGTCTGGGCAGATCCCACACCAGCTCCAAAGGAGGACTCAAAGCTCCCTGGGCTGTCTCAGATCTGAGCCCATCTGATTTCTCCAACTTCTCAAAATCAAAAAAGTGAAAAGCCAGTCTCCATAGCCCGAGTGCATTCTGCAAAGACCACAACATCAGCTGCTTCAATTGGCTAGTGATGGGACTCAGCAAAATTTTACAGGTGAAGATCCCCCGGTAGCTTGCCCTCTCAGCAAGAATGCTTGTTATTGCTCAATTTAAAACTTCACTCAACACTGTGCTAGGCTCAAGGGACACAGACGTCATCAAGAGAGATGCCCTAGAGAAGCTCAGGGTAGTGGGTAATCTTACAAATCCTGCTTGATTTCTAACCAAATTCTAAAGAATACTCCATTCTCAGTGAAATGTGCTTTCTCCCTTCAACTTCACTGGATCAGCAGCAATTCTCAAAACATCAAACCATATCAAACTACAAAGAGATGCTAACTCAAAAGGAATTCACAGATATTCAATATAGTTTTGTCAATTCCTATTGAGGCAGCAGCACAACATTGTAAACTGACTATGCTTCAATTAAAAAAATAAAATAAATAATTTTTTTAAAAAGGAATTTACAAAAAGCCAAATGAAACCACAAGAAAGTAAGACCAGCACTACTTCTGATAATAAGGACAGTGACAGCCAGTATGTATGGGAGACACACAATTCTCAAGTTTCTGAATATTTAAGCTACTGGATTACTCCCCTGGCCTCCAGGTGGAGGGAGGCCTCAATATCTATCACTGCCCAAATACTGCCACAAAATTTAACTGGTAATTTGAGACACTGAAAGATATACTCAAGATGTTAGTTCAAATTCATTATGTAATTGTACATATTTTTAACATACTTCATATGAGATGATACTTCAAAGTAGTAAGACTGATTACCAAGTGTTCCTTGGGGACTTAGATCATATTAATGTCAGATCTAACACACAGTCAGCACTGCAAGACTTGAGAAAATCAAGATAGGCAACAGTCCAGCTCAAAGGCACACACATTAGCTCACAGAGTCACCCTTCCCTCCTAAGAACTTGCTCAAGGCCACGGAATTATTCAGGGTCAGGACTAAACTCAAGTCTCTCTGAGTGCAAAACTCATGCTTTTAAACACCATGTTACAGTGGCAGCAATTCAAAACCTGCTGACATTGGAAATGAACCACATGGTTCCAGGCATCTTTATGGCTTATCCATGTCACGCCAGGATCACACTTTCAGAGGCTCCGTTTCCACAACTGTGGTTTTAGATTAACATCATCTTTCTTCACTGTGTGCTTAACACCATTTTCGAAAATAATCCCATAAAGGAAAGGAAAACTGATGGTTAATAATCAGTCAATATATTAGTTAGGGAAGGAGATTCATTCCTTAATCCTACCAGTTACTGTCTAGGCTACCTAGCCCCTCTTGATATCCACTTCTTGGAATTTTCCATCTCACGTGATTAATTTGTTTTATGATATTCCCTTTAAAAACTCTATTCTTCACAGTATCCAAATGCTTCAAAATCATCAGCAGATGTGACTGACTGCCAGTTTGAAGTACACTGTTACAAATTTACTTTGCCATATGTTGTTATTAGAAAAAAAAGGAACAAAGAAAGAATAAGAAACAATGGAATGAAGGTTTGAAATTTACCTTTTCACGACATTTTCTGGAGGTTTTTCTTGTGTTCTTTGTGTGTCAATACACGTTTTAAAGATTTTAAGATTCAAGAACCATTCCCAAAAATACTTCTTAATTGATGGATGAATTTAGCAGCAATTAAAAATCTGTTAGGGTGGATAATCCATTCTAAATTCAACTATCAAGTGAATGCAAAATTCTTCTACTCACTTGATACAGTAACATATCAAAGGCTCTCTAGCAATATTCCCCAGAAATTACCAAAATAAATGATTCAAATACTTATGAAACATCTACTACACACAAGGCATCACATCTGTGCCAGTTCTAAACGGTATTAGATCTAGAAATGAAAAGCAGCAATAATATGTCTGTGTTGCTCGGAAGAAACCCCAAAGGGATTTGAAGTAGAAGCCGAGTGGGTAGCACAAGCGTCTGCTGAACGTGAAAAGGGGCCATGAAGATGAAAAGAACCGACAATATTATTTTTATTAAAGGGGGAAAGAAACACATCTTTAACTAAAAGAGAAAGCCACCAACTCTCAAAGTTTGTCGTGTGGTCCCAGAAATCTTAAAAATAACACAAAGAATCTATTTCTTACTTGCTGTCCATGAGCACTTCGGATTGCCGATTATTCACTTGATTATCACTCTTGTGGCGAAACTGAAAATCAAAGTGTTTGTGAAAAAAACATATTAAATCATACTTTGTCAGCACAAAGAGTGACACTGAAAGTATACTGAATTCGTCTGTCTGGACAATATCACCATCAGTCCAAAATGAGCACAGCTTACGCTTACCCTGGACCCAGTTCCACGTGTTCTAAATCTGAGTCAAAGACTCTTCTCACTAAACCTCATTCTGGATGTCACCAATGGAGCAAGTCTAGTCCCACACTTTTCCAATTCCCATACATTTTTAGTTGCTCTGGAAAGATGATAAGCCCTTTACTCTGCAGCATAGTTTCAGAGAAAACCATACATTAATTTTGATGTCTTCAGTAAGGAATGGGGACTTCCAATTCTTTCACATATGTGCTCAATACTTTACTGGAACATCATTCATTCTGTTTTATGGGCTTCTTTGAAGTCAGGACATTACTTGTAACGACATGTATTTTCATTCTCCAGAAATTCTAATTGTTAACAGTGATCTTATGAAATACTGAGCATTTCAAAACAAAAATCAAAATACAATACTGAATCACATTTGGTGTGGATTTATGTTTTTATGCCCAAGTGATCCTATTTCTTATTTTATAGTCCAGTAATGTAAATATCTTACATTGCTTAAAAGAATCTACATATTATCAGCCCTCTACTAAACTCAGCAATTAGCAGCCATTCAGGTAAGACTTTCTACATCCACTGTCAAGATCAGACAGTAACAGGCTCAAGGAGAGATAAGGTGTTATTTCAACCAGTCAGCCTAAAAGCACAGGTGAACAGGGTGAAGTATCAAGAGATACACAATTTTGACATCACACATTATAATCATCAGGATTATTAATTTTTCCTTTTAAAAAACTCATAATGTTGTATCAGTATCATAATATATAAATTGCTTCAACCACCCCTTCCCTTCTTTAAATCTCTCCCAAACCCATCCCAGTCTTCCTATTATGCTGTGCTCAGTGCCTACAATTATACTGATTGCCAGGTATAAGTTAATGAATAGTAACAGGAAAAAAAAAGATACTTAGCATTTGTTAATGTGAAAAGAGTTCATAACATTGGTAGAGGAATAAATTAAGTCAGCCCATTACTGGCACACAAACTTCCCTCCACCAATTGAACAACAGGAATGGAAACATTATTTTGCCTGAAGCTATAATTTGACAGGGGTAGACATTCTCTGTTTGCTCCTCCATATCTCCACCCTAGCCTCCTCCCTGGGCCTCCCTCACTCTGCCCTGGGCCAGGGGAAGCTGGCCTATTTAATTCTCATCCTTTGAACTGCTGATTGGGTTTGGCCAATGCATGTTACTGACAGAAAATCACAGGCCCAGAGGAGAGTGAAATGGGCTGTACATTCCCTGGCTTCTTCTGAGCTGGGTCCACAGTGGTTGCTTCCTCTAGGGACAGCCCTCGACTACAGCTCCAGGTCTGGTCACTGCTCCCTCCCTGCGCCCCTTCAGACCTAGATGTAGTATTGCCACCTATGTTGCTACCCTATGTGCTCTTCCTCACTCACGCCCTCGTAAACAGTCCCTTCATTATTAATCTTTCTCCAATCTTCCCCCATTCCAAGGTGACACCTACTTCTAGCCAAGACCCTGTCTGCTAAAGATATTTGGTTGTTAAATCAGCACATGTTATCACAAAAAGAAACATATATTCAAGCTTTAATTGCAGTAGAGACAAAAGGAGACTTGATATTGAGTAACATCTCTATGTAACTTGAAAATGGTCCCCTAAACTGACTAGCTGGCATCACAGGAAAGGACTGAGCAGTTCACCACCTGAAAGCTATGTGGCCCACTCTCTAGGCACCAGGATGGGACCACACTCTCAATTCTGCTCAGACTTCGTCAAGGGGTATTGGCACTGGAACTGATGGAGTCTGGAAGGACCAGAAGTGGTCATCGAAGGCATGAGTTCAGAGGAGATATACACCTGCCAGGCACTGCCATACAGGTAGCTATTAAGGTTAGGGCACATGCAATTACCTAGGGTGAGAATATAACTTGTCTGCATTTAGAATGTTTGGTTTGCCCAAGACTGCGCTTTAAATCTTCGAATTTGAATAACCCCCTATGGATTATGGAGACTTCAAAACTCTCCATTGTCTTCTACCTTAGTTATGTACATTAGCTGTCCAACTTTGAAGTTATTTGACTTTGTAATTCCTGGCATAATGAGCAGAAGATGTGAGAATGCCTAACATCTACCAATTCCCAAAACTAAGAAGACTTGAGATACAGGATAAATAATACTTCACTGGGTGGAAGCAAGTTTCTGTACCAATTCTGGTCTCACCACTAATGGTTGCATGACCATTAGCAAATCATTTGTTCCTTATAGGCTTTAGTTTCCTCGTGTGTAAAATGAGGGAGTGAGCCTAGTTACTGAAGCCCCCCTGCTGTAATCATAAACACAGTCTGGTTCTGTGACACCTATATTAATTATTAAACAAGTAGTAAAAGAGTTTCATATGGTATTGACCAAAAGAGAGCCATTCAAAAATTTCTAATGGATCTCTGTTTCCTACTTCTGAGAGGTCACGACTGAAATCGAGACCTCAGGAATGCTCAAAAGCAAATACTTACATAATCATCTGTGGCATCTTTGACAGCTGTCATAGTGACCACCAGGACCAAAGGCACAATGGTGGTAAACCAGGTCAAGGAGGAAATTTCTGGAATCAGCTGAAACAAACAATACAAGCAGTTTAGGGCTTTTACATTTAGTAAAGATATCTTTCAAATTTTGTCATTTTATTTTATAAGACTTGACAGAAACTAATGGGATAATATTCAGTTATCTATATAAATATAGAACAACATTCAATAACTTAAGTGTTTGCACTCAGGTATAAGACACATGAAATAGACACACTGGTGAACCAATTTCCAAACTACCTGGCAAAAAACTGAATTTTTATAGCAAGTTTTGAAGTAAGCTTCTTGAAACCTTTCACAGATGACAATCTTTGCCCAGGATGATAAACATCATCTGTCTTTTCTCAGCATCTCATCTCAGCTTTTCATACTTTTACTAACTCCTCACCAATTCCCAAAGAGAGATTCTTTGAGCACCTACCTTGTACCAGACACTGTGCCAAATACTTTTCATATATCCTTTGATCGTGAGAAAAGTTTATTGAGTTAGATCCTGTATCAGAGTTGTTTTACACAAATCCAGAGGGTTTGTATTCCATGTAAAGAGCACTCCTCGTGCACAGCACATGAAACACTGCAAATGGCAGCATGGAGTCAGGGAATGCCATGTCCCTGGGTATCACTTTCCCATTTTGTAAATAACTATCTGAGAAGCCAAGAACATACACTGCTAAAACTTGAACTTAGGTTTATTTGACTCCAAAGCTTGGACCTGTACCACTAAACCACCCACCTAAGAGAGACATGGTGACAGCTGACATGATTCTCTTACAAAGGTAGTTTTCAAATGGGGTTCACTTAGAACTACTTCAGGGCCCTCAGGCAAGAAAGGATGGGGTGGAGATGGTTAGTGTATGGAGACCAGGCCCCATCAAAACAACTCTAAAGGAAATCAATTTTATATAATAGCTTCCACATGAATTTTTTTTTAAAAAACTCAAAAGCCTTGAAATACCAACAAAAACATTGGGCTGCGTGGCAGAAAAGCTGGATTCTAACCTGAGGTCCATCATAACTCATGGTAAAAGCTTCACACCTCACTTAACCTCTTTAGGTCTCATTTCTTCATTAATGAAAGAAAGGAAATTGTGCTAAACTATCCCAAAGGTCCCTTCCAGATATGGTACTCTGTAAACAAGAGTCTTTTGGCCACAAATAAGAACCCATTAGAGAAATGAGTTCAAAATTCTAGACTGGTATAAAGGTTTATATGAAGAAACCAAAAGCAAATTCATGAGGGGAAAAAAACAATCTTGGATTCTAAAGTCTCTTCATTTGGTAAGTCTATTACCATATGACCCAGTAATCCCACTCCTGGGCATATATCCAGAAGGAACCCTACTTCAAAGAGACACCTGCACCCCAATGTTCATAGCAGCACTATTTACAATAGCCAAGACATGGAAACAGCCTAAATGCCCATCAACAGATGACTGGATAAAGAAGATGTGGTATGTTTATACAATGGAATACTATTCAGCCATAAAAATGACAACATAATGCCATTTGCAGCAACATAGATGTCCCTGGAGAATGTCATTCTAAGTGAAGTAAGCCAGAAAAAGAAAAATACCATATGAGATCACTCATATGTGGAATCTTAAAAAAAAACATAAATACAAAACAGAAACAGACTCATAGACAGAATACAAACTTGTGGTTGCCAAGGGGGCAGGGGGTGGGAAGGGACAGATTGGGATTTCAAAATGTACGACAGATAAACAAGATCATACTGTATAGCACAGGGAATATATTCAAGATCTTGTGGTAGCTTACAGTGAAAAAAAATGTGGCAATGAATACATGTATGTTCATGTGTAACTGAAAAATTGGGCTCTACACTGGAATTTGACACAACATTGTAAAATGACTGTAACTCAATAAAAAATGTTAAAATATAATAATAAAGTCTCTTCAATAAATTTTAAGGTATACACCCACTGCTTTTCTCCTTTCTTGTTCAGCATCCAATTCTTCTCAACTCTACCTTTTTCTTTAGGAATTACTCCACCCCTCTTCTTTGAGTACATGTAATTTTTTTTTAACTTAAGTATAGTTGATTTACAATGTTGTGTTAGTTTCTGGTGTACAGCATAGTGATTCTGTTAAACATATATATTCTTTTTTATTATAGGTTATTACAAGTTATTGAATATAGTACATGTAATTTTGGTGGACTGATTCCACCCCAGCTCCTCAGGTTTGGCATGTGATCTAGGTCAAGGCAATCATTGTTTCAAATTCTTGAGCCACAGTTATTGGTTAGGACGGGAATGTAACTCAGCATGGCCCAATAAGAACCAATCCCCAATGTTTGCTGGAGAAACAGAAAAAATGATTCCTTTATTCCCATCCTCCCTGCTCCTCTGCCCCTCTCCCCCTCTCTCCCACTCCATCTTTCCCTGCCTCCCTTTCATGTTGGAGTTGAAGTTTGGAGAATAAAAGTCTAAAGGTTTCACGGTTCACCAACTGGAGAGGGCCTGCCTGAGAGTAAACATGGAGGAAACAGAAGTCATGTCCTGTTGAAACAGTTTGCCCATGAACTGTCATACATAAAATATATTAAGTGAATGTAGATTTCTACTTACAACCAAAGGATTCTTAACACAAATCATTATTCAATTAAATAAAAATAGTACTCAAGCCATAATATAGACCGTACGTATCTCATCCATCTTCTTACCTCCTGTAATTAACACAGAACCCAGTACATTCTAAATCTACAAGTTTGATCTGTTTAAATTACCTGAAAATAGATACTAGGTAAATAATTGGCCAACATGAGCCATTTATATGTATGTGTATTCTTTGATTTATGCCTTTTCCTTCCCAAAATATCAGTAAAAGCTAAAATTTCATCTAAGCTCAAATTTTAGTCAAATGGGAGGAAAAAGAAAGGTTATTAACTACCAATTAACTATTCAAAAGTATAAAAAATAGTGACAGTGAAATAATATGTAGCATAAACCATTTATTTTATATGTATGTAAAATACATCATTGTTCTGAGATGCAAATGAAATTTGCCCAAGTTCCACAAACTACTAGTCAGCTAGACTCTGCCTCAACTCTGGCAACATCCATACTGTCAATGTGGTAGGGAGATAAGGAAAGAAAGGAGGCTATGCACAGTAATTATTACGCTCTGGTTTGGTTCAAATAAAGTGCAAGGCTGCATTTTCAAATGACTTTAGTGTTTAAAATGATGAATGTACTAGTTTTTACCCATTCCTAGCCCTCCCACATTTGTGAAGAGAAACAGTAATAATAACATTAAAAATCTGATAAGGCTGGCTTTCCCTAATCATGAACGTTTAGCAAAGTATTTTCTCCAATTACATGAATAATTTTAACCAACAGACGATGAAGAAAGACAACCTACACATTACCTGTAAAATCAGAAGGAAAAGGAAATATGCATTTGCCACTCTTTGGAACTGTTCAAATAAATTAATTGGCAAGAAGGTGAGAATGTTGTACTTGGATGTGTGGATACGATTATCCTGAAAAAGAAACAGCATCACATTAGTTTGAGGTAAGGCACTGTTTGTTATCAGAATAGCTTACAAGGCTGAATGTGAGTTATGCCTGAGCAAGAAAGATAAGCCAGTAATCTGAGAAATTTTAAACTCTGTGTGGCCCAAGGCCTTCATTTTTCCCCAGATGACATACTCCTGAGACTAGGTGGAATTACTGTTCAATGCTATAAAATCATCCATGATTAAACAACTGTATCAAGTGCAAAAGTCTGCCCCGACACTTTTTAACTCTTAAGACATTTATTCATTTGGCAGATATTACTTAAGAACCTACTATATGTAGACACTGAGCTCATGCTGAGGCTTGTGAGGTGAGAAGGAACTTCAGGTCCATCTTCCGAAAACATGACGCTTTAGGTAACTCTGACAAGGGGCCCCTAGGTCTGTCTTTGAAAGACTTATGATGGGAAAGTAACCACCTTGCAAGGCAGCCTGTTTCCATTTCAGAATGGGAATTGCTAGAAAGGTCTTTAAAATGAGAGACTGTAATTTGAAAAGACACCTGCACCCCAATGTTCACAGCAGAACTATTTACAATAGCCAAGACATGAAAACAGCCTAACTGTCCAACGACAGATGACTGGATAAAGAAGCTGTGATACACACACACACACACACACACACACACACACACACACACACACACACACAATGGAATACTACTCAGCCATAAAAAAGAATGAAATAATGTCATTTGTAGCAACATGGATGGGCCTGGAGATCGCCATTCTAAGTGAAGTAAGCCAGAAAGAGAAAGAAAAATACCATATGGTATCATTTATATATGGCATCTTAAAAAAAGACACAAATGAGCTTATTTACAAAATAGAAACAGACTCACAGACATAAAGAACAAACTTATGGTTACCAGGGGGAAAGGGCAGGAAGGGATAAATTGGGAGCTCGGGATTTGCATATACTACTGTACATAAAATAGATAAATGACAAGTTTATACTGTATAACACAGGGAACTATATTCAGTATCTTATAGTAACCTATAATGAAAAGGAATATATGTATGTATATGTATAACTGAAACATTATACTGTACACCAGAAATTGACACATTACAAACTGACTATACTTCAACAAAAAATAAGTAAGTAAATATAACTAAAGACTCAAATTTGCCTCCCTGTAACTTTTTGCCATATGACAAACTCCATCCCTGGAGCCACCCAAACCAAGTCTAAGCTCTTTCCATGTTGACAATCTTCTAATACTTGAAGATGACTCACAGGACTCCCCTAAGTCCTCTCCACTCTGATCCAGACATTTCTGACACCCTCAGCCTTTCTCCATGACTTCTCTCATGCACTTCTCTTCCTGGTCAGCCTCTTCGATCCATCCCAACCTCTATGCACCTCTTTTAAAACACGATGTCCAGAATCAAACACATATTGCCGGGCTGGTTCTATTGGCTTGTATACAGAGGAGACTATGATGTTTTGTGTTCTGGATTTTTGAACTAACATGCCTTAAAATTTCATTAGAATTTTTTCAACTGATCTCACTTTATGCACACTGAGTTATGGTGAACTAAAATCTCTAGATCATTTCTTTATAAATCACTATTAAGTCAGGTGTCCCCTTCTTAAACATTCACAGTTGATTTTTTAATATTGATGTAAAAGACCTTTCATATATTCCTATTATACCAGCCAAATGAAAAAAATTAATCTTTAGTGTGCTCTCCCAAAGTATTAAATATTTCTTCCAGCTTTGGATCATCAAAAAATTTCAAACACATGACCTTTTTATAGTCTTCCAAAGCTACATAAAACTAATACATTAAAATAGACAGAACTAAAGACTCCCCCAAAAATTTAATTAAAGAAATAAAACTATGGCAAACTACTAGAGACATCTACACAGATTAATGTTAATACCTTTTACAGGTGTTTATATAAAACATATTAAAAATATGTTTTATCTAACCATTTATAACTCTACCTAACTATACTCCCATGACGCTTAATTCTATCTTATCCACAAAGATAGCATGAGACATTTGGGGTGACAGGTCTTACATTCAGAATCAACACACCCAGAGAATTTCCATCCTCTAATATTTTCAAACGAAGGTTAGCCCGTGTGACTTGTTTCAAATGAAACTGCACTGACTCCTAATAATCACTAATACCCATTTAAAGAAAATACTGTCGTCTGTTAAATGGCCATTTTTTAACATTTACCAGGAATCACCACATCCAGCCCTGTACAACAAGTTATGAGAGAGAGAGGTATCAAGAGCAGAGTTCCCAGCTTAGTTGGTCTGATGCACGGTATTGTGCTGAAAACTAAGTTGACGGTGACTATTTTGCAGTGATTTCTCTACCCAAGAGCTGGGTTGGGAAGGAAGGCTGTTGAGAGCTGTCGATTTCAACATGTTTTTCTAAAAAAGGGACTTGGAAAAAAGAAAAAAGCAGTTGACCAAAAGGGTCACATATTCCCAATTCTGTTTTATATTTTCCTTCTAAGTTGAAACGAAGATAGAGGGTAAGCCTGTATCTGATTGCTAAAAGAACAGACATAGCATCTGCTGGGATATTCAAAACCACGGCAGGGATTATAAAGAAACTCTCCTACAAAACTGAATTCCACGTAGGTGAAGAGTCAGTTGTGTGGGATAAAGTGATAAGGCCAAATGAGAACTGTGACAGTTTTGCTTAAATTGACGTATAGCAATGATAGTGTTTGTTCTACTGGCTCTGTTGTGACTTAGTCACAGATGATGCAAATCCTCACAGCTGACTGGGAACAAGGAACAAGGGCTCCCCCTTCTGGAGAATTTCTGCACCCATTTACCTTTCTTTGTTTTTCAATCGAAAGGAAAAGCACTGTTTCTGTTTCCACTGAAGTACCCAAGAATACAAGCATCAGTAAGACCTTACATCAGGCATGTTAATATTCAGTCATTTCATTGAGCCAGCCTTTTGGCTTACAGTCAAACTGTAGTACAACTCATTCTATAATACAGCACAGAAGATCTTCACCACTAACTTCTTAGCACTATTTTCCCACCAAGGACTACTAGAAATATCCCAATTCAGAAGAAAGGAAGAGGAGGAAGAGAATCAGGAGGAGGAGAAGAGGGAAAGCAAAGAGAAAGGCAGGAGCAAGTCAAGGGAATCTATATAGCATCTTTAGTCCTGATAGAAGTCAAGCTGGAAGTCACGGCTTTAGTTTGTTTGTGAAGTGGACCAGTTAACTGACCCCACAATGAGGTAGGTGTAACCATACAGTCATTAAGCAATCATGGACCAGTAGGTAGGAAAGAGCCAGTCCCCAGAGAAGCATCAGAGGACCACCTGCTCCCTATAAGAAGCAGGGACTATGAGGCTGGGTTACAGAAGTCAGCACAGACCAAAGCTAGAGAGAGGTTTCTTGGAATCTATACTAAGGATTTTAGTCTTTATTGCAAGGTCTTAAGTAATCCTGATGAGACTCTAATATTAAAAGATTACCCTAGCTGGGGGATAGCGGAACAAAGATGGAGATAACAGAGAAAAGATGTGAGAAGACCAATGAGGAGGTCTTTCAATATGTCCAGGTGAGAGATGATAGGTGGCTTGTACCAGGATGGTGGCAGAGGGGGAGGCAATGACTAATAATAATAATAGCTGATATTTTACTGAGTCCTTACTATGTGTACTCTTCTAAGAGCTTTACATTTTGTAGCTCATTTTATCCTCACAACATCCACATGAAATAGGTACTGTTATCCCCATTCTATAGAAGGGAAATCCAAGGTACAGAGCAATCAAATAGTTTATACAAGACTGCACAGCTTATAAGTGGTGGGACCAGGATCAGAATCGTGGCACTGCTTCCAGAGCCCATTCTGGTCACCACTGTGCTCCCCCAATTCACTGCAGAGCAGATATCTCTTCTGCTTTCAGAGCTATCAGCCCTTGCTTTCTCCTGGACTCTGTATTTCTAGCCTGCTGCCACTTCCTTACCAAGGAAAACACTGTATGTCTACCCTTTCCTCTGGAATCAACCCCCTCAGTAGGAGCCCCAGCTATGTCTTGCCTGAGGTCTGATCACAGCTTCCTTGTTCTTCCTTTCAATCCTCCTCACAGTTCAGTGTAGGCAAGCAGTGTAGCTAACCACTCCCTTAATTCAGCTTTCCAACAGAAGCAGCAAAAGTCCTTTATATTTTCAACACTGACTACTTGCTATGAGGGGAAAAATAAGCAAGAAATGATTAAATTCTTCAAGATGGGCCATCAAATAAAATATTAATAAAATGAGAAGCATTGTTTTTTAATAATGAAATTTTATTGTATAATCGCATTGCTTGAGAAAACAAAGCAAATATAAAGTCCCAATCACTGATAAACAAGTCAACAGGGCATCTCATCTGAGGAGTTTGCCTCATTTTGTCCACTGGCAAAATGGAGCTAATACTATTTCTCATCTATACGTTTATACAACTATTGTGGAGCTAAGGCATAGACATGGAAGCAGTTATGCCAAATTGAAAAATATTATGCAAATATAAGATTCTTGCAAGAACCCCCAAACAATCCAAATGGATTTAGGAAATCCAGTACCCTACAGGAAGGTAAGCTGGGTATGCCGGAGTAACAGATGAACCTTCGTGGCTTAATGTAGTTGAGAGTTTATTTTTCGCTTATCCTGCTTGTTCAGCATGAGCCAGCAGGGAGACTGCTCATCAGAGTTACTCGCAGGGGACCAGCCACCATTTCAAACACTTCCAGTTACAGTATTAGAGGGAAAAGAGAAAGTCCCAAAGAGTCTCACCCCAACAGCTTAATGCTTCAACCCAAATGCTCACAACTCATTGACCAGAAGGGCAGAAAGCCAGAAACACTAACAGACATCTCTAATGGCTATCACAACCAGAAATGGAAACTATTTGAAGAGTGAATTGTAACATACAAAAGTTACAAAACTAAGTATCAAAAGCCAACCTCAGTGCTCACAGCCCAGTCCT